GAATAGAAATTATATTTACTTGAACATTTTATATGCCATTTCACTGATAAAGGTACATGGGTCCTTTTTTTCTACAGAAACACTGTAAAAGGTATGTCAGATTTTAATACGTTATAGTTGTTATTTCTCTAAATGAAATATGATTCAGAAAAATACACATTTCCTCTCTGAAAACTGTTGTATTACCTAATAATAAATTTCTATCTTTTTTTTGGATTGATCAATATCAGAAGATGACTCAATGTTGTTCAGATGACCATGAGATCATTGACCATACACTCCGTAATCTTTTGCTTTTGGAATGTGCTTTAGACTATATTTATATGCTCCTATTGCTAATAATATCAAAACTCCAAGACTGCATTATAGCTCCTTTGATGACCATCAGCAGGGAAATTTTACTATGTTTGTGAATAGAATTGTGATACCCGGTCGATATGTGTCCTGTACCAACAGGAACACACAATGACCTTTATGGTATTATGTCAAATTTGATGAACTTTTATTTCATTTCATGTAGTAGTAATCATTTTTTATCTGTAATATGTTACAGAATAAAACATTTTAAAACTTACAAATCATGTAATATCTGTATATTTATTAATTTCATTGTACTATAGCTCACTGTATGACTCCCTCTTGAATTTTTGTAGTAATTTAATTGATTTGATTAAAAAAACTGCACCAAATCACAAGGCAAAAATAAAATCCAAATATTGTAATCTGTTTTAGCAGAGTGAATGTACCAAGAAAACAGATAATTCACCCATTTAAATTTTTCATTCAACTCATTTAAGAAATGAAATACGCTCTTAAGTTTGTGTACGATAATTTTAATATTCAATCCTCATACCTTACCTGATTTCACAAAGTAGTTTCAATCTGAAGTATACATGACTAATCATAATTTATCAACAATTCATATAAAAGAAAATAAAAATAGCAAATTATGTATCATATTAAATACATTTAGTGCAACTTTTTGAGTGAATTTGACATCTCGTGTAATTACTCATCCGTTTCCAATTCATCAGATCTGTTTTACTTTTCGTTTCGGAACCAGACAGCAAATTTCATTTTGTGAAACCACCAAGTCATTTATCTGAACATGATCAACCATTGACTACTTTTTGAAAATAAATAAATAAAAATAAACTGAAAGCTTTCAGATTTTATATTATGCCCTGAGGTTTTTTTTTTTTTTTTTTAACATTTTGTGTTATCTTTATTTATTAAATATCATGTTCTTCCCACTTAATTAAATCATAAAATTCAATTCAACAGCAATATCACAAATATTTAAAAGAGCATGTCTTTCGAATTCCCAGTACACAGTCTCGCACACATTGGAGATAAAAATGTTCCCTCCTCCCATACAGAGTTGCTATTGCTCACTTTGAAATCATTGAGTTTCTTAATCAAAGACTTATAAATGCGTTACAAGATATGAAATAGATAATAAAACAAATTCCAAATTAGGGCTTCCAGATGCCCATATTCTAATGGAGACATACATTATTCAAAATTTGATGGCCCTAAACACAGTTGTTTTATCACAACGTGAGAAACATACATACATTTATGCAGATTCTTCATTATTTAACTTCTTTAAATATAAAACTCTAATATTTGGTGGCAACAATTGAAAAAGTGATTCACCATTTATAATGAATCAACGCAAAATGCCAAAACAAAATTAATAGCCTTTCTGGGCAAATTGCCCCTTTGAGCTAAAAAGATTATCTTCAAGAAAGCTGAAAATAAAAAAGCAGGAAAAAAAAGATTGGCCCACTTTGAGAACAGCACATGACACTTTAGGAGACATTAATTTTTCCTCCCAAAGACCCATCCTTTAAGGAGTTGGGAAAAAAAAAAAAAAAAAAAAAAAAAAAAGGAGGAAAAAATATTTAAAATAGAAAGCAGATGTCAAATTAAGCATAGCAATGCATATCATAAAGATGAGGTAAATAAAGGTACAGTGAGGACTATACATGCTCTTAATAGAAAAGAAAATAATTATTGATAAAATATTGTAAGCAAAAGCTACAATATCATTTCATCAGAAGTACAGGCAATTATATAAAGCATCGGTTAGAGTAGACTGAAGGGTACCCCTTGTATTATTGCGAAGATGTTGTTTCATTTATTGCCAAGTTGTTGTTTCATTTATGTTGATTGCTGAGTAGTTGAATGTTCTGTACATCCGTAAATATACTCAGTCAGTAAATAAAGTCAAGGGAGTGAACAATGCCAAGTTTCTGCAATTCTCTGGTGATTTTTTAAGTGAAAATAGGTCAACGTGTTCATGGATAAAGAAAGTCAAGGCAGTGCACAATGCCTAGTTTGTGCAATTCTGTGATGTTTTTTTCCATTAACAAATGTATTTGTTATACCAATGTTTTATTATAACTCTCTTGTTCTGATCATAATTTGTAATTTTTCGTGTCGCATTTATGTAGGTCAATGTGCACAAACTCGGTATCCATGTGCCGCCAAAAATCACCAATGGGTACTCGTAAATATACTTTTACCAAAACATCACTGTGCAAGTAGTAATACTTTATTGATTATGCCAAAGCATTCAACTAGTTGATTTATACATGTATAATGGAGAGAAAATTTATGTGAAGAGGTCCTTTGCGAATGATTAGCATACTTGATATAAAATAAAATAATGGCTGATAATAGAACATCACTAATAGCACATTTTCCTTAGATAACCACTCCCATAATACAAATCTATTTAAGTAAGAGGTTATTCTCTTTGGAAAGTTCGATTGCATTTTCTACAAAAAAAGCACACACTGTTTTGCATATCATTACATTCGTCCATATCTGTGTTGATAGCAAAAACTGAATCATAATATTAAATGATGAGAAATATGCCCAAGGAAATTGCAATACAGTTTAACTAAATAAATGGTTGTATAATAGAAATATAAAATTGCATGTTTCCACAGGACTTTTATTAAGAAATAAGAGCTAAAAATTCAATAATAGTGGAGAGAGAGCATGCAGTTGTCATGAAAAATTTCATTCATACACAGTTTATGAGCACTGGGTGAGACAGTTTTGAGAAATAATAAGTAAGAAAGTTTTCTCATCATCATATTCAAAGACATTTTTTTCATATTTTGTACTTGGATCTGTTTGGGAAAAGTGACTGATTTTGCCATCAGTAAAAGTTATCCTGCTTAAAACAGTTTATTATTGTGTTTTCTGAAACATGGTTTCAAAATATGTATTTAGAAGATGCAGAAAATACACCAAGGAGGTTAGTCCTTATTAATTCATTTGCACTTTCATCCAAATTTTCCACATTATGAAGAATACAGCTCACCTCACGAAGATCATATTCTTTCATCGCTCTATAAAAATTCCTTAATCGCAAACTGGAATAACAGATATCATGTTTTCTGCAAGGAATAAAATTCCAAATTTTCCTCATTATGAAGAATACAGCTCACCTCACGAAGATCATATTCTTTCATTGCTCTATAATAATTCTCTGATCACAAACTTGAATAATAGATATCATGTTTTTTGCAAGGAATAAAACTTCGGCATACTTTATGAAGTATGTTTTGTGACATGCAGTTGTGAATCAGATCAAAGGTAAAATTCTTTTCATCTTACAGTTTCTAAATTCATTCATTAAAAATTTCTGTCATCATCTACACCATACGTTATTTTTTCATAATTTCAAATTCATCAAGGAAAAAATCAAATACATTGCAACATTTTGCTCACATTAAATGACATAATAATTACAACAAACGATGAGTCAATTTCCCATGTTTCTGCACAAGTGCCGATGGAACATTGACATTTTGATACACTTAAAAACTCGCAAAACATTAGAATAAATTTTTATTTCAGAGGCAGAAACAATTTAAAAAATTATCACATCTGAAATTTAGTGTCATTCACTTCACAAATGATGTTAAATTATGCGAAAGCACAGTCATTTTACGATTAACTAAATTATCAACAGAAAAAATGCGTTCAAAATTCAGTATTAAAATAGTATTTTTATAATTAAACAGTTTCAGTGCTTTCGTAAGAGGAAAAAAAAACTCAGTTTTGTATCCCTGATGGTAATAGTTTTAAATCAATATGCACAAAATTTATTCATACCACTAAAAAAATTATATGAAGTGCTAACAGAGATATTAAAAATTGAAATTGTTTTGTTCTTTTTATTTATAATACGTTTGTTTAGCAGGAAATAAATGTTAATTCAAAGAACACTGCAATGGAAGTTCTCACATGTCCTATCAAACTTTTGTCAGTGATTTTAACTGAATTATCACCAGAAGAAATTTATTAATAAGCGAACACTACAACAACGAATATCTAAGATATTCTTTGACTACAACAACGTTTGCACCCTAACAAGAAATCTTCGATGTTTGTTTACATCGCACGATAAATTGTTAATCTTTGCCATAATTCACCGCGAAACATGATAAAAAGCCAAATATTGTAACCCATCCAGAAGCCCGTGACGTCACGGTAAACTTTTCCGTACACCTTTGGCGTGTGTCTGTACATAATTGTGACGGACTAATTTAAAAGTTGTTAACTACATCTTTAAACCATGGCGTTAGTTAAAATTTTAGATACGACACAAATATTTATAAAAATAATCCATAACAACTTAATTTGCTTTTCATTGCTTAGAAAAAGAATGTTAACCGAATGTTCTTCTCAGAAATCCGTAGAATATAAGTAGAATAGGCACAACTACATGATTGAAACATTCATATAAATCAAGCAATTAAATTTCTTGTTAATTAAGTTAATTAAATTTTCTAAAACACTGAAAAATTGTCTCATATATTAAGGCCTAATGTAGTTCTACAAAAATAAATAAATAAGTAGCATTTACTTTTTTTTTTCTGAAAGTTTCTTTAGACGAAAAACATGAGCGGGAGGAAAAAAGGAAGTTTTAGAAAAAAAAAAAAAAAAAAAAAAAAAAGACGTTGTAAGCGAAAATTTCTAAGATGAGAAATATAACAGTATCTATAAAATTTTGAGTCGGTGCTTGAGACGAATCATATTTTTTAAGACACGGCATTGAGAAGAAACGGCAACCGTTTACACGATTCTAAAGAAAAACTATGGCGGTAACGAAGGTAAGATTAGAAATTAATTCTTGTCAAAATTTTGGCTGTTGTAATATACGCATTATCTGCGATTCATTTTTCGAGCATGCATAGATTAGATGTGTTTTCCAATAAAATCATAATATTTGAGGATAATGTTCCAAGTATCGGTTGTTTGGTGACGAAACGTACCCTATTCGAAGGGAAATTTCTGCATGATCCCTAAGTCAGCACCAAAGCATAACATAGACACGAATTTCAAATTTTGTGTATTACGGTCTCATTTCCTAATATCATGAGACCGTCACTTTGTTTGATATAGATTTCAATGTATGTATTTAATCTTAAAATTGAGATATATGTCAAATTATTGTGATAAATAAAGAGTTTAATTAACACCATTTAATGTTTTACGTCATATTGATGAAATCGACAGTGGAAACTAATCAATATTATGTTTGTTTCCAGAACTATCTTCCGATTTCTGCAATTCTGAGTTTTTTTTTAATTGGCATTAAATGGAATTAAATTGTATCTCTAGCGAGCATTTTTTATGTATGAAAAGTAACCATTTCAATTACTAAATAAGGTCTTAATCTTGTGTTTCTGTAAGCACCAACACTACGTACAGCATAGACATGATTCCCTTTTTTATTTTAAATAAACATTTTTATGTTTTATCGAAATTTTATTTTCCTGGGAATATTTCATATAAAAGATATAAGATGGAGATTGTTTATAAATTAATTATAGCACTGTCGATACTGGTGCAGTAATCATAACCAGATTAACTTCTTATGAAAAAAGAAATATTTAAAACTAGATAATACGAAATATGCCAAAAATCAAACAGATGCCTGTGGGTTTTAAATTCAGCGTATTCAGTTTAGGGGTTTTCATATAAATTTTTTATTTATCTTTCTGCTTCTTTAATTTGAAGGTAAGAACATGCTTAACCCCTATCAGACTGTTTATTACAGTTTATATGCATGAATAATAAATATAGGCTGATCTTTGGAATATGGTAACTGGTAGTTTGGCGACATTTTGGAGGCGTTGGAGGCGATAAAGTTACTACCTAGACTTGGTAATAATGGTGAGAAGCACTCAGTTCGACTTAGCATTATTTGTGTGCGGGAAATGAGAGATTGAGATAGTCATGTGACATTAATGGACGAATATAGTTCTTTAATGGAAAGGAGGTTATGGGAAAAGCTTCATTGGTGTGTGTGAAATGGTTTTGTTAATTTTCGGATTGCATGGCGCTATGTAAAGTGAATTCTAATTTTAATGCGTTATCTGAGATATAATAAGTGAGATTTGTGAAAGGAAGGATTATTAAAGTTTAAATGGCTGGAAGAAAGATGGGGAAAATGGAATTGGGGTGCAAGGCAGTGTGAGGAGGGTACATGGTTTGCTGAAGTAGTTTGATATAGGTAAATTTATTAAGTCTATACTTGGTGAATAGCTAGTTGACTACTGGAGTTAGGATTTAGAATAGCGTGTACTGCAGCGACGTAATGAGATTCTTGAAGAGATTAGCAGTTAATATTTTGAGGATATTATTTTATGCATTGTTTAAATGTCGGAGTAGAAATTAAATGGTATTATTTGACATTTATTAGCAATGATGAGTTTACGTAATAGATTGTAACTAATTTTTAATTTAATGTATGTGCTATTTTATTTTAAGTAGTGTTTTTTATTTAATTAGTTTAATCTATGATCGTGATTTGTGATTTTTTTTGTAGTATTTGGAAATGTTTGATAATATACGTTGTATTTCAGGCATTTTCGTGAATTTTTTAATTTATGAGAAAAAGCAGTGTACAGGGATATGTGAGAGTGTGCGCAATGCATTTTTGTGCAATTCTGGATGTTTTTTAAGTTAAAATAAGTCGTTGGTGCATGGTTAGTGAATTTTAAAATGAAGATTTGTTGAATTTTATTTTGTAGGAATTTGGTATACGTTTTTTAAGTAAACGTGCAGGAAATAATTAATATTCGACTAGTATTGTAATGTTTCGGTATGATTGGTTGTGCGTTTATATATAATAGATTAATTAGAGTAAAAGTTTTTAGATATTTATTATTATGATGGAATTTTCATTTTGGAAGGGTATATACTTTTTCGGAATGAATTATATATTTTTTTTACCGGGTTTAAAGATTCAGAAAATTGTCTGCATTTAGTGAATTTTTTTCTAATTTGTGAGAAAAAGCAGTGACCGGATATAGTGAAATTGTTCGCATGCCATAATGTTTATGTGTATGTTTATTGGAAAAATGGCAAGGATATGGTATGTGCACTTTTTCCAATTTTGCGTGAAATTTGTTATGATTAAGTCGTTTGTTAGATAAAATTTCTGTATACTGTATTGGCTAGTAGATTGTTGAAAAAGTGTTCAGTAAATAAAAGAAAAGATGTCTTTACTTCGTGAGCAAAATGGCGGCGGAAAAAAAAAAAATAGAGGGTTGCTGTAGCGAGTTGGTCGCCAAATTTTCGCCAAAAATCTCCAAGTTACCATAATCCAAAGATCAACCAAAATATATATATATTTTATTAAATAGCCTTTTAATTAATAGTAATTTTATCAAATAATATTTGAAGATAATTTTATATGTCATTATTGAATTTTAGAAACAGGTATCTTTTTCTGATATCTATATCTCATTCAACATTCTGCAGAACTGCCATGTTTTTGGCATATTTTCAAATAAATATGCAACAGTGGCCAACTCATGCGTATGCAAATGGCACATGTATTTGAGTGCATGAAGATTTATTTGTGTTGTGTTTAACTGTCATTTAAGTCAGTGGTGGCCAACCGTTTTGGGAAGAGTGCCACTATCTGAAAAAAAGTTATGCGTGCCACTTCCAACTTTTCCAACATACTAAAAAATGTGAAAAGGGGAAAAAAGTAGTATTTATTGGTGATTATAGGATTTTTGTGCAAATACCACACTTTTTCATTTAAGTCAGAGTAGTAAACATTTAAAAAATAATATAATAAATAAAACAAACGTATAAACTAAGGGTTTATTGTTGTTAAACATTTTTAAAGTTCCAGTCCGTTAGATCATGTATGAAATAATTTGAAACATTTAATTCTAAATAACTATTAAACAGTCAGTACTTAATTAATGTGGTTTTTGAATATGTAGTTTTTTAACAAATCATTTATTATTAGGGTTAGTTCTTGAATATGCTAACAGAATTATGTGTTTGAGGTGCATATTAATTAATCTTGAACCATATTTTGATTTTATTATGTTCATATCAGAAAACATTTGTTCACAAACATATGTTGATCCAAACCTACAATAATAACTGATAACCAAATTGTGTAAATTTGGAAAATTGCTTGTTGGTACAAATTTAAAAAATTTGATCGTTTGATTTCGATCGTTTGCAGTTGAAATAAGTTCCTTATATTTGCTTTTCAGTGCAGTATGCTACTGTAGGTCAGTAATTTCGGTTTGGATTTCAGTTGGGTAACAATAAACATCTTGTTGAGAAATTAAAGTATTATATTTATTCTAATGTGTTTATGTATGCATCTATCGACAGAGTTCATACAGACTGTATTATTACTTTTTAAAATCTTTTAATTTTTCAATAAGTCTTTGCATGCCATTGTGGAAAAAACTTCATTGTGTCATGTGTGCTGCAGGTTGGCAATCCCTGATTTAGGTGATCATTATTTTTTAAGTTTTTGTGTTGTAATTATCCCAAATCGAAATATATAATATCCGTACAATGCACCAATGTAGTGTATGCAACGAAACTGTAATCATGCAACAGAACCCTATGTAATGCTAAAAAAAAAAAAAAATGAGCATCCTCCTCTCCCCGACTACTGGGCCGATGCAAAATTCAATTGGTTCTTCATGTCTGCGAAGCGGACATAGTATAATATTAGATTTATATATACACTATCTACATAGGTTTTTGACATAAAAAGGACTTTTTCTGAATAACATGCCAATTTTTTTACATTTTGATTTACACTCAATTGACCATAATATGAATTTTGTAAATTTTGAGTGAAATTTACGGAAAATTCACAAATTGATGTGGCACTTTTTGTCATTTTGCGCAAGAATAGTTCACTGCGACCTCTTAATTAATGGCACCTAGTTTTCCTTCATGTGAGCGGAAAAATCACCATCGTTCTTTTTTCCAATAATATTCTTTATTTATATTTTTAAATTAAACTATTATTTTCGTAATTTTTTCTTTTTCGATTTCTTTAATTGTTAAGTTTGCTGTTTTTCGATACTGTTTTAAAATTTCTATTTACCTATTTGAGCTGTTTAATAAGGTCGCGTTTATTTTTTTCAATCATTTCTTTATATATATTTTTTGTCATAGTTTTATTTTAGGTAATTTTTAAATTTAACTTTTTTTATTGTTTGTGTTGCAATGTCTCTCAATATTGTTTTAAATTTTCTATTATTCCGTCGATTGAGACTTTTCAATATATTTTTAATAAATTTTCCAGAATTTATTTATTTGAATGCGTTTCTTCGAGAATACTTTGTACCCAACGACATGCGTTTGAAAACGCATAATTGAAGAGAAATCATAAAGCACAGTCACGCCTTTCTGTTCCGTTCAGAAAGTATATATCTATAAAAGAAGACTTTAACTTAGGATTGCGACGTTTAACTTAGCATGACTTGCGTCCACGCTTTCAAACAGTTTTATCATTGTGCCATTGCTTGACACAATTTCCTACATTGGCTTCTAATTATCATATTTAGTCAAATTTTATTTTAATCGTAAGAACAAATATAAAGATTAAAAAATACAAATAAAATTTTACCCCAAAATTATTTTTTCTTCTCTTTTCTTCATCATTCTACTTTATTCTTGCTCTTTTTCTTTAGGCTCCGCAAGTTTATAAAAAGTTCCAATTTTCAATATCTTGATATTTCTGACATCATTTAAATAAAGTATCGCTTCCATTCATAAGCCCACAACGCCCACGGTAAGTCCTGAAACCCGTAGTTGCTCCGGGTTTGAT